CAACAGGGGGGTCTCAGTTTCTCAGATCCTGCCTCCACCCCATTGGGGTGACTGAATGCCACCAATTTAGATATTTATACAAAGGAATTATCTAAGAGTTAGGCTGTGATTGCATTGGGAATCCCTGCAGTCATTGCTTCCACGCCATTTTCGCCAGAAGTGAGTCGTGAAGTGTAGCCAATAGACAAGGAGAAAGAGAGTTGGACTGAGAGCGTAGCAAAGACTCATAGGCATCTTAAAGAACAACAACAGCTCTTTGAAAGCAGCAGAGCAATTTATAGTCCCAATCCAGGTTATTTTATGTACAGTGCTGAGATTTATAAAGATCTCTGTATCTTCAGCGCCTATCAGATTTTGCCCATAGCAGTATATATCAATTCTTGTCTGTGCCAGAATCCTGGTCATCATTTATTTCTCTCCCACTTACCCTGTGACTTTACCAAATCCCAAGATGGCTTTGTTCTTTAACAGAGACCTGATATTTCCTTTACTGTTACCCTTTTAAAGGAATGATCTTTTCTCATCTCACCACTATAGAATAGCCTTCTAATCTGTATTTCTCCTATATTCTTACCTTCAAAAATTCTTTGAGAGAATTATTTATTTTTTGTAAATCTATAAACAAAACATAAAGGGGTAAATGACATAAAGGCAGTAATGAAAAATAAATAGAAATATGGACTGTTAATTTTTTCTTCTTTTTTCAGTTACAAGTAGCACAGAATACAGATCCTGTCTGTTTTATTGATAGTTATGTTTACGTTTACAACCAATTTTATTTCATTGTATATTATTGCCTATGAAGAAGAAATCAAGTGTTTTTTTTTTCCCTCTTCTGTAACTATTTCAGATTCCATCTTTCATCTTATCCCAAGTGGTTTAGTTCATCTATTCATGCAGTTTACATAATCTGAGAATAGATGGGACCATTTAATGTGTCTCTCTAGTAAAGAAGTAGCAGATTTCTTCACCTCTTCAGTGACCACTGCTAACCTTGCTGGTTCCATCCTTTTGTCTTCCTCAATAGTGCACTCCTGTGCTATTTACATGTTACTAAGGCTTTAGTCTGCATACTCCTCTTGGATTCTAGACTTTTGATCCAACAATTGTCCACATACAGGTGTTATTTTGTCAGGTGCACTCAGTGTTGTATAAAGCTGAATTATTTATATTATTTTGTGTCATGTCCTCCCTCAACTGGCTAATTCATTATTGGTCTCTTAGTCTGTTTGTTTTTTTACATCTTCTTGATGACCTTCCTCCACACTCAAGCTATGTGCTACATAATACTTCTTTATTGAAATTCCCCGTTTCCTTTCCTAGGGTTAGCCTGAGTAGTTTCTAACTGTTGTACTTGGAACTTGGGGGGGGGGGGGAGAAGCATCTGACTTGTGTGTTGCCACTAGCTTACAGCCTCCTCACTCCACATACATGGATATCAAATGCATAGATCCTCCAAAGTGTATACCAGCAGGCTTTATGGTCTGACCTGTTGGAGAGAACATAAAGAAGGACTCACAAAAACAAGAGCTGTTAACCAAGGGGTGGCTGAAGGCTCTAAAAAATGAGAAAGGTGATGAAAATGAGAGAGTGAATTCTCTTAGCATTAAACCTTAGGCAGAAGATACATTTTTATTATTTTTGTAAGGGTGTGTCTTTGACATGGAACTTGAGGAATATTCTGACACTTCTTTCTCTCTGTCTTTGTCTCTGTCTCTCGTTCTCTCCCTTGCTCCCTGCCGTGTGTGTGTGTGTGTGTGTGTGTGTGTGTGACAGGTAGAAACAACAAACCTTCCTTAATAGTTCTCTGCTTTATTATTATTATTTAAAGACAGGGTCTCTTTGATCCTGGAGCCCAATTTGGCTAGAACGATGTTCAATGAAACCAAGAGAACTACCGGAGTGTGCTTCCAGCCCACAACACTGTGATTGTAGATGTGCACTTCCTTCGACTGATGATACATAATATTTTACTGATCGAGCAAACTTCCAATATCCCTGTGGCCATCTTTTCTAGAAAATTTCACTGGTTCATATTCCCTCAGCTAGTCTCAGAACCAGTGTCCAGGACTAAAACACAGCACTGGAACATTGGAGGTCACAAGATTTCACATCACATGGTCTAATTTGTTCAGCAAATACATCTAATAGATTGCAGCGCATGCCTCATGGAGTACAAGTGGGAACAAGTTAAGGAGCGTACTCACGAGTGTTCTGTGCCCACGTGTCAGCTTGTCAGCTCACATTGTTCGAAGTAGTGTTGCTCTGAAATAAATGTAGTAGACAGCTTCACTGCATCCCTTTGGGCTGTCGGAGTTGCCCTTCTTTGGTATTCTGTAAGCAAAACCTTTCCATTGTAGCATGATTCAAAGGAAACAAACAACAAAAAATCCTTGTTTTTTCTGTTTTATTTTTTTTAAGCTTAAATCACTCCCCTTCTGTGGAAGTGTGTGTGTGTGTGTGTGTGTGTGTGTGTGCACGCTCGCATGCGTGCTGTGCATATGTATGTGAGTGAAAAAAAATAGGAAAAAAACATTTAAAAGCCACTCTCATGGAATTAGGAGCACCAGGCAGCAGTTGATATATTTTCACTGTTTGATCGTGAAGACCTTTAGCATTACACCAAGAAGTCATAGCTAACTAGGTGATATAGTCTCCAGCAATGTATTTCTTAAACAATGCATATATCTTTGTCACTGGGTTACTGAAATGGATGAGTTACATGTTAAAGGAAAAAAAATTCTCTCTCTCTCTCTCTCTCTCTCTCTCTCTCTCTCTCTCTCTCACACACACACACACACACACACACACAAATCTCACTCTCCCTGCTTCCTCCTCCTCCTCCTCCTCCTCCTCCTCCTCCTCCTCCTTCTTCTTCTTCTCCTCCTCCTCTCTGTAATATCTACATAGAGATGTAGAAAATGAGATAGTCATCTTCATAGATCTAAGAAAGATACATGGAAAATTTGGGCCTTCACATTCTAGTTGACTTTGCATCTGTCTAGTGTTTGGATCTTAATTTTATTTTTGACAGTGACAACCCAGATTAAAGCTATGTCAATGTTTTGACAAGAATGACTGATGAGCTTAATCAACCAAATTGTCCACTTAGTCCAACATGGGCTTTGTTGGTGTGGCTTTGCTTATGAGTTGTTTTTTTTTTTTTTGTGAAATTAACTTGATTTCAATGGAATAGACTAAATCAGCATAATATTAGCCGGATAAATACAGCACTCAAAAGATCCTCAAATAGCTGGACCAAAGGTTAAAAAATAACTTGTCTTTTCACAAATGTTCCAAATTTATTTTAAGGCATTCTAAAACTTATGTGTTTATGTTTTCTGAAAATGAAAGCATCTGTATGATCCCATTAACAGACAAAAATCATGAACTAGCTTCATGAACTGGAGCACTTTCCATCATTCAGTCATGTTTTTACTTTCAAATTTAAATAAGAAAAACTGTCTTTGTTCCGGAAGATAAAAATCTTAATATAAGAAAAGTATGAATGTTCAGACAGCTATGCAAATTTCTGGATGGTAAACAGAAATATCTTATTTTAGGAACAGTAGATATTGAATTTCTCCTTTGTGACAATACCCTGCCAAAATGTTAACCCAAAGTAAACTAAGAAAATGACATTACAATCAGACTCTCGTGATGCTAGCTACATGATGATCATGATGTCTGTGATCAGTATGATGGATGTGCTGCATCCGTGTGTGTCTGCGTGTGTGTGTGTGTGTGTGTGTGCATGTGTGTGTGCATATACGTGTGTTTAAGAAAAGGAAAAGAGAGAGCATAAAGGAAATATAAATGGGACCAGATATACCATGCAGCCAGAAGTACTTTTTCTTATTTTTTAAAGTTTTAAAAAATATGTTTATTTATTTGTAAACATGTGTGCCTATGTCTGGGTGTGTATGCATGAGTGTAGATGTGCAAAAATGCCAGAGAGGATGTCAGATCCTCAGGATCTGGAATCACAGATAGTTGTGAGCCCCTTGATGGGGTCTTGAGAACTAAACTTGGAACCTATATAAGAGTAGTATGTGATCTCCACCTCTGAGCCATTCCACCAGCCCGTGCCACAAGTACCTTAAGTAACCTACTCAGAAGTTTTACAAAGAGTCTATGCCCAAACATAGAAATAAGCTAAAAGTCATATCATTCTAAAATTTGAAAGACTAGCTATGTTTTCAAAGCAATCACTATTTCTGAGGTCAAAATAGTGCTAACATTTACCTTCCTCTGCTTCTTTTCACACCCCTGATCTCATCGCAGCCTTTTCTTCCACATTTCATGCTTAGAGAAACAACAGAAATCCATATATTGTAAATAATATTTTTATGAATACACACATTAGGGAATTAACCAACTTTGCAAATTTAATCTGGCCTTACGTTTATCCGTGACCATCTCTCTTATTTAAAAGTCTACTTATTTAATAGTTGGTAAATATTTCAGCTATGATTTCAATTATATCATTCAAAGAAGACTTTGCCAGTTTTTATGAGCACTAAACATTTCCTGTTACAGAAATAAGATAGTAAATGTTAATAAACACCTGCCATTGTTTGTTTATCATATTGGCTAAATTTAAATGAACTGATTGGGTCTAAATTTGAAAAGTAGGATTATTTTGGTGAACTATATTTTTATGTTGTTTGGAAACAGTTATTTACATATGACTTATGCTTCTTTTGAAAAATCAATTTCATTTTGAAAAAATAAATTCCAGAGTTTTTTTTTTTTTTTGCCACTTTTTTGTAAGAACAAACTTAGTGGCAGCTTAGGGTTTAAGAAGTTATTGCTATGCTTAGATTGTGGAGGTTGTGATTTGTTGTTACTGAGAGGAGAAATATTTCCCATTTAAATTATGAGTGCTAGATATCTGTGTTAGTCCTTGTTCAAGTCAACCCCGACACTGGGAAAGCAGACGCATGGATGTCTTGGATGCGCAATGATGGTGATGATGTCTTTTCTGCCTCGTCCCGTAGCGTTCAGCCGTGCCCCAATTCCCATGGCGGTGGTCCGCAGAGAGCTCTCCTGTGAGAGCTACCCCATCGAGCTCCGCTGTCCTGGCACAGACGTCATCATGATCGAGAGTGCCAACTACGGGAGGACAGATGACAAGATCTGCGACTCCGACCCTGCTCAGATGGAGAATATCCGATGTTATCTGCCAGATGCCTATAAGATTATGTCTCAAAGGTACGGTGCCTCCAGCCTCCAGACTTTTTCCTTGTACATATATCAAAATTCAACATAAATCAGGTTGACAGGCTGAATACGGATAAGAGTAGAAAGTGGTGTGTGCTTTAGAAGGACTTGACAGTTTACACCGTAGATCACTCCTCCTGTCTCTGCGAATGATGGTGCTATAATCCCGTCATGGCAGTTAGGCAATAAAAAGCTCATTAGTATTATTAGTAAGTGTAATGATACACGCTGCCTAGTGTTAAGTTCTGACGGTGTTCTCTAAAAATAATTTGGTTATATAAGAGACAAAATTTCTTTTTTCCCAGTATTTTCACTAAAATGTATAGTGCAGAAATAGTCTTATTCCTGATTATTCCCTAATTGTGTTAAGAATAATAGACAAAACAAAAGGCTGGGTTAGGGGCTAGAGATACTGCCCAGGTTCAGTTCCCAGCATCAACATGGGACTCAAATACCAGCTACTACATGTAACTCCAATTTCAGGGACTCTGACCCCTCTTCGGGTCTCCATTGATACCTGGATACATGTGTTGCACGTGCAGATAAGCCAACACACACATATACACAAATAAAAATAAAATAAATAAATAAATGTGTAATGTATACAATCATTAATCAAAACATAATAAAAGATAATTGATGAAGGATTATTTGACCTTAGAAAACAATGAAGAAAATATTTGATTTAAATATCGAATGTGAAATATATCTAATACATTTGAGTATTTAAATTCTTACCAAGTCCCATTATATAAACCAAGGTACCATGCCATTTCATGTGAAAAGAAAAAATTTTCGGTTCTGAGGGGTTAGATTTATCTCCATACAAAGAAGATTTAAAAAGACTTGTCATAATAAAAGTTCTCTATAAATCAAGTTGATTATATATGGAGAGACATATGTATAAATGCACATGAAAGAGATACATACATTAAACATTTGTTTTCTATTTCAATGATTTCCCAGCAATAAATTGTTATCCACTTTGTATGTCTTTATACTTCCTACTTCATCAAGGTGATTAGTAATTAAGTCATGTGTCAATTAGTGACAACTTTTATGAATGTGTTTTATAATTGAATAAGTTCACTTTTTCATAAGGATTTTTAGTCAGATAATTTTTATTATTTTATTAAGAAGTTATTTAAAATGAGGGGAAATTAAAACACAGAGACAACAAAACATATTGAAGGCTAAACACAAACCAAATACAATGCTCTGTGCCTAATCCCAAGGTAAATAAATAAGACATACAATAGAATTGAATCACCTCTCTTTGCTTACATACACCATCTTTATTTTAGCCATTTTTTCTTCTTTTAAAAGATTTGTTTTGTTCTTTGTGTACAAGTCTGCAAGAAGTACACACGGGTCATGATGGAAGCATAGCGGTCAAAGGAACAGTTTATGAAGTTGGGTCCATCCTTTCCGTTTACCTGAGCTCAGGGATTCAATTAAAATCTCTAGCCTTAGGAGATAAGCAGCACCTTTATGCACCGAGCTGTCTCACTGTCCTCATTTTCTCTCAATATTTAAAATTTTGTGCAATTTGAATGAGGTTAGTAGATTATATTAGAGTCAATATCTTTAGCCTATCATAGATGTATAAATTATTAGAAGAAATGATAACATATATGTCCAATGAGCAGGTCATTTGAAGGGTGCTGGGGACATAGTTTGCTTCTTTCTCTCATGTCACAGGATTTGGTTTGTCTCTTGCTGAAAAGATGGTTTATGCTAAAACAGATGCTGAAAAAAGCATACTTTTTCAAAATTAAGGATCCATTTGATAAAAGTTGGATACATTGTTTAGTTCTTTGTCTTTATTGTAAAATTGATAAACTTCCATCTAATTTAACTAATATGTTATACCTAAAAAAAATTTAATCCCTTTTTTATATGTTGTAACATTCCCTATGAAAAGGTTTATAATGAGTAGCATAGTGACTAAGTAAATCCATAATCAGTTAAATAATCAAACATAAGATTGCAATATGTGGGCTTGTGAGATGGCTCAGAGGTTGGGAGCACTGACTGCTCTTCCAGAGGTCCTGAGTTCAATTTCCGGCAACCACATGGTGGCTCACTGCCATCTGCAGTGAGATCTAGTGTCCTCTTCTGGCCAGCAAGCATACAAACAGACATAACACTGTGTATGTAATAAATAAATCTAAAAAAAGAGATTACAATATGTTTAATAATAATAAAACATAATATCCGTAATAGATGTAGTAAATAAAGAAACCTGAATTTTGTGTTTGGGGGTAAATGAGGTATATAACAGAAGCACTAACTTCATTAATTCCGTTCTAAGACCTTCCCTGAGATTGTTCTAGTGCATTAATTAACACCATTGCAGAATAATCCATTAATCTTGTAATTATTACAAAAATTACTAATAATGGAGCCTCTCAATCAACTGAAGTGTGTAGGCTGTACACACAGTGATAAATCTGTAGTGGGAATCTGCCTTCAGCACTAACTAAATCCGTTCAGTAAATCCGCCTAGTAAGTTCTTAATGGAGTCAACTGTGGTCATTCACCTTTGGACTTTTATATGTATTACATTTTCGGTTTCCAAAATACAGGCTTTGATCCTCATAGAGGGAAGTTTAGTTCCTTTAGGTCAGATGGCGAAGAATATCCATTTCCTTTATAATAAACCATTATGATGTCATGCCTACCACAGCATGTTAAATGATGGTAATAGGGATGCTGTGCTAATAACATAGACAAGTAGATGAATATATTAAAATGAAATAAAAATGAAAAGTAACTTTTCTGAAGTGTACATGAGATAAATGGATTTTTGTCATATTTAAGCATTTAGAAAAAGATTGTCTTGGGGCATAAATATTAAGAATGTCTTGAGGGAGGGTTATTACTAAGTACAAAAATTATTGTTACCAATCCTTGTATGAACTTGTGAAAAAACCTTTTTATCTTACTCACTTAAATCTATCCTTTAAATGGATGAGACAAAGAGACACATAAAATGCATTTTATTTAAATTTTGGACAAGTTATGTAAATTGAAGTTTGAACTAACTTTTAAACTAAGTATGATAAATTTGAGAATTAAATTAAAAGAGATATGAAAAAAGACATTCTCTTAAGTATGAAAATTTTAGGCATTGAATTAAAAGAGAGATAAGATGTCCCCATTTGTCTGCAGTAGGACTGTCCAATCTGACACCCCACTGAGAGATGCCCCTTTGTTCAGAGTCCTCAAAATTGCCCAGGTATGAGGCTGTGGTGACTTTTAGCCCTGGATTTGATCTGCAGTGAACACACACACAGACAGACACACATACACACAGACACACACACACACACACACACATTGTACCTACTTTTTCCAAATCTAAGTGATCTCATGCCATTGTTCTCATGTGCTCAGCCTCCTTAATATTCTCTATTTGTTGCTCTATTCTTTCCATACTGAACGATTACCTCAAGTGACACAGTGCATTTATTTATCCTTCTGAAACTTCTCATTCCTCCTTACGGTATGCATCCATCAGGTAGTCCAAGTTTCCACATAGCATGTTCTTGTCTGATTGCAGGTTTTAAGAATGCTTAACATTAGTGTGTCAATGGGTAAATCCGTAATGCTCTCTGATTTAGTTAAGCTCATTAACAACTTCCTCAACTTTGATATTTCCATGGCTTCTATTCTTTGCCTGGTGTATTTATATATTTTAGAGATGTTTTTAGAAGAACTATCCGGTGTAGTTTTGGGATCTTAGTATGAACATAACTTTTTAGCAACTGTATAACTTCTGGAAGGTTCTATGTAGACTTCAGCAAGAATTTCATGTGGCTTCTATTAACTCTGATATTTGAATCATTAAGTCAGCCAGCTCTTGAAAGGACACAAATGAGGTTCCCTCAGACAGTTAGTCAGGCCTGATGGATAAGTAAACCAGGCATGGTTCCTGCACATAAAATATCCTGGACAGATAAAAGGAAACCAGCAGGATATTTTGCTCAGCATTTTATTCTTTTCTCATTTACATTTATTGAGGAGATGAAAAGAGGAACTTTCTCTGAGGTAGGTAAGATGAGAGAGCCTGTTGGGTGGGAAGGTGTCAGAGTTGGCTCACTTCTATGCAAGCTGTGTAAGCAGAAGGACCTGGAACAGGCACAGGTGGAGTGGCCTCCTTCCTTTAGCTTCCCCTACTGTGGCTTTAAAACTTACTGTTGTGCAGCTCAGGATGTCCCTGCGTTTCATTTGGCTCAATCCTCTCTGAATATGCCAATGCTTGGAGTCAACCTCTTCCTTCAAAACCTTCATTGTAAATCCGGTCCACATGATATTAAGATGGCATAGAAATGCTAGATGATACATGAGCTTGATAGATTTCCTTATTTATTTTTTGACTTGGAATCCTTATTATAAATTAGACATCAATTCCTTCTAAATATGAGAAATCTGAACGTCAGGTATATTGACCTTTGTGCTACCACAGCGTAACTAATCTTATTTTATATGTGCTTACCTATAATTTTTAAACTCTAAAAGCACTTGAAAAGAAGCATGTATAGACACATGCATGTGTGTATTTATGTGAACATGCAATTTCACTGAGTTAGGCATACAGAAAATTGCACCAATCAAATGTGTGGAGCTCAAGGGCTTTTTCCAAACTGAGTTCATCCAGGACTAACAAATGGGTGAAGACAGGGAACATTAGCCACACCCCTCTCCAAGGAACTCTCAATTCTGACTTTGAGTTGCCTAAACTATTTTTTGCTCATCTTGTAACTTAATCAGATTTTGTAAAATAAGATAGACTTGAACATGACCTTTCTCATTTACTGTATTTGTTGCTTTTCTTTGTTACTGAAGATTTTATGCACCGTTTCTTTGTTATTTCAGGTATAATTATTTTCTAACACTTTTATAGAGCAGGGCAACCTTCACAATGAGTTCATTTCAGAGCGTTTGTATTGTTGCAGTGAAATTCTCCAAACAGTTGCTTCTCCTCA